GAATATTGGAGGGAGCTAGGCTCCAGCAGAACCTCTGTGGGCAGAGTCGCGCCTCAGGTCACGGTGGTCTCGTTCGAATGTGACGCCGGTTCTCGGGGCACTGCTACGAAGATAACGAGAAGATCGACTTGTGTGTCGCGTTGTGGGAACGCCGGCACTGGCTCCAAGTGTCGGCTTTGGGCAATGCTATTCGCCGGTTCAAAGAGGATTTGGATCCTTTGGATCCTTTTACTCACGTGGTTCTCGGTTTGTGGTATCACCTCAATCGGATGAGGAACAACCGCGCTGGTCTTCTGCGTCAGCAGATTGATCGGCTGTGGGAATGGTGCACAAGTGCTGGAGGTCGCACTCGCTCGACACTTTGGTACTGTTCTTTGGACATGGTAAGTGGATTCTAGGTAGTGAAAATGACGGATCGTGCCCGTTTGATCTCGGCTTTTGTCACTCCTTTTGAACTATTTGAGTGGAATCGAATGTCTTTTGGCCTGAAGAATGCGCCCCAGATCTACCAACGCATGATCGATAATGCGCTGTATGGGTTCACCCGGATCCCGAAGTCTGAAGATCATGGAAGTATGGCGGATGTGTTTGAGGACGGGGAACCAGTGGATCCAGGTAAGCCTTCGGTGCTGGGCCGCAGATCATACATCGATGACATCCTGATCCCCGCTAATAGCTAGGATCAACTATGCGACCGAGTCGAGGGATTGCTCGAAGCGTGCGATAAATGGAACCTGTCGATCAGCGTAGTCAAAAGTTTCTGGGGAATCCAAGATCGAATACCTGGGCCATAAGGTCTCACACAATGGACTGGAGGCGAATCCTAAAGATCTGTCGTCATTGACGGATCTAGCATTTCTTGGATCACTTCGAGCTATGTAGTAATTTCTAGGAAGTCTGAACTACTATATTCGATTTATCGAAGACTACGCGATCTACGCGTCGGTCCTGTATGAATTGCGAGAAATCGACTTTGCCACGATGGCGAAAGAGGCGACCCAAAGGCGGATCCAACAAGTACTGGAAGCAGAAGGCGCAGATCCAGGGTCCCAGGAAGATTTGAGCGACGACCACCGAAGGACCTTGGATCTGGAGGCGTCTGATCCTACCGAGGTGGATCCGCGTTGGATCCACGCCCATCGGTCTTTCAGCGTGCTTAAAACCACGATTGCTACAACTCCGACTGTAGTGGGCCTAGTGCTCACTACCTAGCTTACACGTATGCGCACGTGTAGGAGGAAGCGTAGGTTTTCCTAGATAGTATAGAGTAT